CCCCCCCCCCCCCCCCCCCCAATTCCTATTGGGAAGTTTGTCTTGATGTAGACATATAAATACTTGAAAGCTAATGTAATGCCATCCAATTTGTTCCAACACATTGTATATATACAATAATTATTCCTGTCTATACATATTGATATTTTTGAATGCCGTATAGACGGCAGAAGATTTGTTTGGTTAAGGGCCCATATAGGCAAAATTTAGGGGGATTGGGGGCGTACTCCCCCGAAATCATTAAAATCTGTGGTCATAAAATGGAATTCCTGCATTCTGGTGGATATTTCTTCAAATTAGGATTATATGCATCAATGGAACTGTTGTATTTGTGGCAGTTCATCGCAATCTCAAATTAATGAATAAAGACCGCTCCCTAAGCATATTTTAATTTCGAGCATTTTCCAAAAGAAATGGAGATTTTAGGGGCTGATATGTGCTGATATGCTCCAGCGAGGTCGGCACAGGTAGAGACCTACCTGAAATGACTATGTTTTGTGATTGGCTTTCAGAAACAAATCAGAAACAAAAATAATCATTCGATCAAACGATTTCTATAATTTTATTGTCTATGATCAACCAACCACGAGCCTGGATTACTAGTATTATAGTGTAGGTAGATGATGACCCTACGGCAGACGTTAAGCGAGAGATGTATGTGCTCAAAATCGGTATGGATGAATGTCTCTGCCTACTTAATAAATCTTTGAATGAGGTTGTAAACGAGTGACCTATCCTGTCACAGAAGCTGAATTTTGTTTCTACTCAAGTGGACGTTCATGATTCAAACATTTAATCTCACGGTGTAACGATACGAGATCTTTTCGTTGCATTTTCCTTGCTGTTCTATGTATTGTACTGAATGGCGGAATCAGCAAGAAAATATCATTCCCACACCACTGTCGGTTTCCTTTTCTAAATATCATTGCATGTCAGCTGTGCACGATTTATTTTAGGCCACCATTTCAACTTTGTATTTGTATTTGTAATTTGTTTTCATGTTCTGTTCTTTTTTAATGTATAATGTGCAATAAAAAAACTGCATGTTCCCGCATCATGTCTGAAAATTTATATCATTTTGGCTTGAAGTTTCCATCTACAAAAACCTTCAATAATACGCTTATAATATACGCCTTTCATTTTGCAACAGTCAATCAAATCAGTCAAACATTACCCACAACTTCGTGACGAAATGCAGTCCATTGATAATATTGTACTTGCCTGAACCAATTTGTTACTGCCTGAAAATAAGTGTGCTAAAAATTCTGCAAAAGCAGGGTAAAAAGGTATAGGATAACATACAAACGACACTTGCCTGCAACAAACACAGTAACATTAGATGCAGCAGTAGGTTTACCCTTTGCCAAAATACTAAATGTGTATGTTCCATTGTACTGGATAGTAACGTTCTTTAAATCAACGTTGAAGGCTTTGTTATTGTAAATAGTCCAGGTGAGTATTGGGGGAATTCAATCACATTTCCATCTCTAATGATATCAGCAAAAAGATATTCGTTCTTTGGAAGGAATGTCCACCATCGACCCAGTACGTCAGTTATACTGACATTAACTTTCCAGGCTATTGACACATTTTCTCCAGGGAGAACAACAAAGGTATCGCCACCAGGCGGGAGGAAGATTTGACCTACACAAGAGAGAAAGGGGAAACTATACCATGATGTCTGAACTCCCAACATCTTTCATGTTGTGGATGTTTTCTGGAATGGCCATCATAGCAATTTTATTCCAATTAACCATTTTGATGATGCAACTTTTTTATATAATAAGTATCAGTCTTTCTTGAGGGAAAAATGTCATTATAATCGATTTCCTGCTAGTCCAACGCGGCAACATATATGCGGACTATCTGCCCCCCCCCCCCTGGAGCAATAAAAAGAAGAAAAATTGCATCAACAAAATGTCATGTATATTCAGTTATATTTTATTTTTTAAACCATCGTACGGCCTACTCATGCAGTGCACTTGGCATTGGGCAAGAGCAATACTTTAAATAATGTGCACCTATATATATATATATGCATGTAGTGTTTTCCTCATTTAATTAGAGATCCATGAATGTAAGCCTACTGAAACAATTTAAGTTGTATGGAAACTTGTGCGTCTATATATAGTCCATACCTTCACAAGGACTGAATAACAAAATATCTAGACCAAATATAACGGCAAAAATTAAGCCAATCATTTATGAAATTAATCTATATGAAACAAAGAAAACATTAATGAATACATTTTTTGGTTGTATAAGGATATGGTACATCTTATACAGTACATCCAGTAAAGTCACTTCAAATTTAGCGAAACTTTTTCTGCATCAATGTGCTGTATCGTGCATATTGGAAGAACAATACAGTAGGAGGTAAGAGTAAACTTGAGTTTAATGAGTAAACTAGTGCGTAATTATAGCGATTGTATAATTTATGCACGATATACATGCACAACTTAATTCGCTGGTGGAGGTATACATGCAGCCTCAGGCGTGGCCTATACTACTTTCACATTTGCTTTACGTTTGTACTCTGAATGATTTAGTATAAAAAACCTTCCTCTTTGCAAACCTTAAACTCTAAACCTTAAACAATAAAATCCAAGCACGCGAAGCATAATAAGTTATAATGGGAGCACCATTTTGGAAATCATATATGGAACCCATTTCTTAGAGACATGGTAAATATCTCCTTAGGAAAACAATTCGTTCGCAAATGGCTGCAATATTCAACTATAAGCTTGAAACTTGTGCTCCCATTAAGCTTTGCGTGCTTAGAATTTAAGGTTTAGAGTTTAAGGTTTGCAAAGGACAACCTTTGTTCTACTCCGTCGACATAGATGTATCTTAAAAGATAAAGACAACATTAATATGCTGCAAATGTTTAGCTGTACTTGTTGGGTATAAGGAAATGAAGTCGTAACCATGAATAAATTCTATCCAGAAAATGAAATGAAAGAAATACATGCTTGATATTGTACATCTGATAGCAATGAAACTAATGAACTTTAAATTAATATCATGATAATACTAGTAATAGCCTATTCTTAGTTTGCAATTGATGTCATATCGGCCATGGTGGAGGAAAGCTAACAATCTCATTAACAGATATTGTATTTAGAGCGTGTTTTCCTCCAACATGGCCGCCCGCCATGTCTTTGTCTTGTAAATCTCAAGAGACTGATTGCAGACCATGAATTATATAGCAAATATGACATAGTTATACATACCTGTTATAATTCAGTGGTGTATTCCTGAAAAATTCGCCACCAAACGCTATAATACGGTGTGTTGTTTTAAGTTGTGCAGTTCTTCCGGATTCGATACGGGTCGGAAGCTTGATAATCAACAATGAAACACACTACCTGCATGCTAGTTCATGCCCCTTTGGATTGATATCTAAAGTAATGATTAATTCATTAAATTAATTCAGATAACTTCAAGGGTTGATAGTTCAAGCGTTTTCGGTTTCTTTCTGCCTTTGCGTGGGATTAACTGTTAGCAGGATAACTGAAAAAATCATCAAACAGTTTAATACGAAAATATGTGGAACCAGTACCAATGGCCATAGGCCATAGGCAGTGGCGTAGCCAGCCCGACAATTTGGTCATGCTATGCAAATATTTCCGTGTTCATAGACCGTGAAAACAATCAATTTCTGAAAAAATGAATAATGATTTGAAATTTGCATAGGCCATAGGTCAAAGAGAAATCGATGTTGATGAGTAATATAAAGCAATTTGTGCTAAAACATGCAAGCTGGATTGCGTTGTGGTTGTGAATGTATCTTATTGAGGGATTATATACAAACCAGAGCCAGAGTAAGAAAACATTTCTCATAATATATGTAGTTGTCATGGGGTGGTTGGGGTGCTTGTTCCCCTAAACAAAATTCATGCAGAGTGCAATTTGGGGGGAAAAATGAGGCAAATATTCAGGAAAAAAGAAAAATTCCTGCAACAACACGAAATATACAAAAATATATAGAAAAAGTTGGCCTAAAATTTACTCGACCGATGTTTGATATGCTACAATTTATATCAGACTACAGTGCAGGCCCAATTCATGCAGACACTTAATTCATTTTTTCAAAAATCCTGACCAACACCTAAAACTTAAATCTAAACGCATACCTCCCCCCCCCCCACTCCCCCATATTTAATTTTGCATATCTGCTTTATCTACACTTTTTATTTGATGAAAAATTCCATTCAAAAATTGGCTTGGGGGAGCGGGGGATATTTATTTATAGAAATGCCACACGAGGCTAAATCTGTGGGTTGTCCACAACCAGGATTGTAGCAATATCTTTCAGGATAAGGCGAACGCACTTTGCACATTGAACAAGTCAATGAAGTCTCAAAAAGCGGTAAGCTAATTTTGTTTCATAAACTCCGCAGTCGCGACCATTCCTGAAAATCTCCAGAGAAGAAAAGAAACGTCTTCCTTGGCTTTTAATCTGGCCTTCTCCGCAGGTATCTCTAAAGGTTACCCTGCCGGGTTTCTGTGGTTTTAAACCATCTGGTACATGTGGCCCCGATGGAGATGCCTGAAGAGGGGGCTACCTTTCATCTATTATATTCCGGGTTCAAGTTAAAGATTGATAGTTGTTCTCCATATTTCTGTATTTGTAGAATCATCGTCATTTGCAGCTCGATTCCCAGTCTCATTACTTGCAACATTCACTCTGTACGTACAATATTCCAGCATCAAGTTAAAGATTGGTAGTTGTTCTCCACATCTCTGGTTTGGTTTAACTCAGTATAAGTTGACTCCTCGTCATTACTTGCAGCATTCACTCTCAATGATTGATAATTATCTTCTGTGTTCATTTTTGAAAGATCAAGTTCTTGATAAGTTGTGTCAGCTTCAGTTGTCTTTGGTTCAGGGTTTGGTTGAGGTCCTCTGTTTCTCAACGATTGATAATTATCTTCTGTATTCATTTTTGAAAGATCGAGCTCTTGATAAGTTGTATCATCTCCAGTTGTCTTTGGTTCAGGGTTTGATTGAGGTTTCCTGCTTCTAAATTTACGACGAGAACATAACACAATGTAGGAAAGAAGAGTTCCAATCATAATCCCGGACACCAAAGATACAACAATATTTAATACTACAACAGTCGTCTCATCATCCTCTTTGTTAATTGGCAGCTGTATTGAGAAATATTTGACACTGATAAACACATCGCCATAGAAACTTTAAAAAGTATATAGAAATAGATCGCAATCCGCTATGATTTTCGAGTTGTTTATTATAGTGGTCTCGGATCACGAAACATGCTTTTTATGTCAATCCCAGCCTCTCCCAGTTTAAATTATTCTTCCATGTATATCGTGACGATGAATGTAGCGGTAAAACAACGACCCCCCTGCAATATCTGTACCATGCAACAAAATGACACTAGCTTTGCTCAGGTCAGGGGGGGAGGCTTGTTATAGAAACTATTGTTTGAGGAAGATAGTTTACATCAATAAATATATATACTATTCAACTTCCTTTCACAAAGTATATATAACTTTGAACACGGTTAATAGAAGGAACTTGCTTTGAACAAGTATATATATACTTCTTACCTGATCTAGAATTCTCGGTAGTGAAGAACTTTTGAGTGCTAATACCAGTTGTTGGATTTATTAATTCATCTAAACATAATTAAATCATGTTGTTACACTTTCTCTACAGTAGAAATTTTGAAGGCAATGTATGATAACTAATAAGTAGAAAAAGGAAAGGTGAAAATAAGTTGTAAGTAAAAACAGTTGTTGTTTCTGAAAATATTGAATCTTACCTAGATCGATAGATAAATAATATATCGTTGAACTATTTCCAAATTTATTCTCTGCAATACATTTATATAATCCAGCATCACTGTGGTGCACAACATCCATGGTATACGTCTTGTCATTACTGACGATCTTGGTATCATTATGGATTATGGTATAACTTGGTGAAGGATAACCACTGGATTCACATGTTATGGCAAACGTTTTACCAACAACTGCTTTATTCTTAAAGTATGGCTGTTCTGGTGGGTCTGTAGAAAGCAAAATAGAATATAATAAAATACGGTTTTGGCAATATATGGTATTAAAGAAATATAGGTAATGGTTTTGAGTGTAATTTGAACAAAATCGTGCACGAGTGAGTTTTTCAAAGACGATCCAAATTGCACACAAGAAACGATACTGCATGTTACTTATTGATAATATGCATGAAACTTGCATGCATTAAACACATGAGAAATAAATCATTTATTCACTCATTTGAATGAGACAACAACTTGCGGGACACAAGGTTGTTATTACATAATCTTCACTTCAAAACATACACACCAGCACTAGTTCAAACATGCATGTCCTTTTTATACAGTTTCTAAAGTTGCGCATACGCCGTGCACCAGTTTAAATATTTATAAATTACATGCAAACACGCATAAATTTACAACAATACTTACAATCAAGTATTACTTTTACTTCAACTAATTCATCAGTTAGAGTGTGACTCGTGGCTACACATTTATATGTTCCACTGGCTGTTCTACCAACGTTACTGAGAGTCAATGTTTGTTCTTCTTTTCCTGTTCCACCAATCTGGACGCCATCTTTATACCAAGTTACATTGGCTGGGGGGTTTCCACCTTCACCTCTACATGCACATGTGAAGTCATCACCTTTATATAATGTGATAGGACTGGAACAACTCAATGTCACAGTTGGTTTCTCTGAAATGTATATAATGAAGCCATATATATAGCTACTTTAGGTCTTTCGGAAAGTAAGTATTTTTTTATGACTGGGGCATAGAATAAATTAGCTCAATATTTAACAAAAAATAAATAAAAGAAGAATAAACGCAGTTATGGAGAAGTATCGAAATTAGTACATGTTGAGACCCCATGTGAGACCCCATGTTTTGTGAAATACATCTAAAAAGTCGGTCCCGAGATCTGTATGGGACAAAAAGTCGGTCGGGTTAAATCTGAAAGACATTATTTTGTGTCGAAAAAAAGAAATAGTTGGACAGAGGGCCTTTTTTAAGTGGGGGGATTTTTGAAAAGGGACCTTTCTGTGAGATAATATATTAGAGGGGGATAGCAATGACCAAGGTCATGTGTGTGGCCGACATCTCACATATATGGGGAGGGCATTCTCCCCCAGAAATATCTTTGCCATTCCCTGCATTCTGAGCGTCCAAATTTGCTCTAAAATTTATGCTAACTATACTTGTATTTGAAATAAGAAGGAAAAAACGGGGAAAAAATTACTAACAATAATTTATCATTACTTAGTGGTAGAGAAACGTAACAATTTAAATTTTAAATTAAATCGATTTTGTTAAACAAGGACAAAAGATAAAGCTTAAAATCCATTAGAAGCAAAAAGTTTCCATTTATCTGTTTGTTATTTTCCTGGAGGGCGGGGATGTGATTTCGTGGGGGACTGGGGAGCCCCCCTCCCCCATCTTGTATGGTAAAAGGCCCTGGTTGGACATCTTGGAAATTGCATAAGAATAACAAAAACGCATACACTAACCAAGATATCAATCATATTATGCTAGCAGCAAATAATCAACTTCCGTGTTGCAACCTCAAACCCTCGTGGTGCAGTCTAATTGTCGCACAAACTGAAAGTCTGACACTTTGAAAGGCTGAAGTTCAGTGGCGTAGCCAAGTGGGGGGCAGTACAACGTATTTGCGTGTACAGTACAACGTTTACATAAATATTTTTGGAATCTAACAAAATTAGGCAACTTTTTGTGGTTGTAATTTTTCTTCCAACCTCGCCCTAAAATACTTGAAATAGCGTTCTAATGAATCTAGAAATTCAAAATTTTCTTCACGCCTTCGGCCCTCGCACTCGAAATCCATAAAAATTTTGGCCCCCCGAAAGTTTACAGCAGAAGTTCTGAAAAACTGAACGTTTATTTAAACTCTTGGAATACTATCCCCGTCTATGAGTAGACTTATTTAGAAGCATTATTGTCTATTGAGCTCTTGACTTTAATAATGTATTATTCTTTAATAATACCGTGAGCTTGTGGCTAATATACTGGCTAAAAATTCAAATTAGAACAACAGGTTAATTTCTAACGGTCTACTTTTTGACACCCCTTTATACTAATTTTTACACAGTTACTCGGCTTCGTGCTATTACTATTTGTCGAACTCTTAAATTTTATATTAATTGTATTTATAACAACAAGACTGTGACATTGTTAAACCGAACGCCTTGCTTTCACCGGTTCACTCGTACCGTGCACGCCTTAAAACAGTTGGCTTTTATCAAACACAAATACTACAAAAGTCGGTCCCAGAACATAGACACCCCCCAAATTTTTTTTGAATGTGCGCCCTTGAATGTGTAATATAGAGAATGCATTTTTTGTAGCTGCTCCCGCTACAAGAAGCCTTCAACAATACGCACTAGACTAACCGTAGCTAGATGTGATAATTGGAGGGCGGAGGGTGTATATTTATATATTCATGTTCACATACGTAAAAACAGTCGATTTCAAAAGAAATCCGTCGGGCAGAACATGAATACAGTATATGAATATGCAACCCTCAATTATCGGTCTAGCTACGGCCCTGAATACGCATATAATATGCCTTTTTCTTTCCCAGCAATCAATCAAATCAGTTCTCTAGAAATTTGTTAATGCCTGAAAAAGTAGGGTAAAAGGTATATATAGCATTATATACAAACGACACCTACCTGCAACAAACACAGTCACATCAGACATAGTGAGTATACCCTTTGCATAAATAGTAAATGTGTATGTTCCATTGTACTGAATAGTAACGTTCTTTAAAATCAACGTTGAAGGCTTTGTTATTGTAAATGGCCCAGGTGAGTAATGGGGCTTTACATCCACCATTCCATCTCTAATGATATTAGCAAAAGTGTCGTTGGCCTTTGGAAGGAATGCCCACCATCGACCCGATACGTCTGTTACACTGACATCAAGTTTCCAGGCTATTGTCACATCTTCTCCAGGAAGAACAACAAAGGTATCACCATCAGGCGGGAGAGAGATTTGACCTATATACATGCAAGGGAGTTTAATTTACAATCGATGCATTTGTATTAAATAGTCTAATTATAAAAGCAATCTCTTTACATGCCGCCAACAGGTGTTCCTGAAATGGTCGACACCTGTGATACATGAAGGAGGATATCTATATATGCATGCCTGCATGATAACGGGAAAATGTACGATGATCTCTGTCCAAGATCCTTCATGCTGGCTAAAATGTGATCGATCATGTCGCCATTTGATAAAACACCCAGACAATTTACCATTTCACAATTTTGCTGATGATTTTTTATAGTCTTTCTTCATGCAGAAATGTCAATCGATTTCCTGCCAGCCCAACGTGACCATAGCTAAGGACTTTTTGCCCCAGCGCCGGGAAAAATAGCATCAACAAAATAATATCGTGTATATTCAGTTATATATTCTGTATGAGCCTGCTGAAATAATTTCAGTTGCATGGAAGTTTGTGCGTATATCAAAGGACGCGATGATAACTTATACCGCATGGAAAAAACTGTTCTGTCTAGTTTAATATAGTCCTTACCTTCCAGTAAACACGAAGCTCTAGGAAGATGTTCTGTGACTGGTTGATTATGACAATGACAAAAGACGTAATTGGCTTACATAAACAAAAGGAATTATTTAAACGGTCTTTTAAACGGAATTATTTTTCTCGATCTAAAAAAAGCTTTCGACTGCGTCGACCATGATATTTTGATAAAAAAATGTCTTACTTTGGCTGTAAAGGAACCACTTTAAATTGGTTTAAATCATATTTAACGAATAGAAAACAAATGTGTAAAGCAAATCAAGTGATATCCCAATCTCGAATAATTCGTTGTGGTGTACCACAAGGTTCAAATTTAGGCCCAATATTGTTTCTTATTTATATAAACGACTTGCCTAATTGTTTAAGAACGACTACAGCCAGTTTGTTTGCAGACGATACTAATCTGACAGCAAGCGGGTGCTCGATTATAGACATCCAAACAAAATTAAACAATGATTTGGAAAATATACATCACTGGTTATTGGCCAATAAATTAACTCTCAATAAGGACAAAACTGAATATATGATAGCCGGGTCTAAGCAACGGATTAGCAAAATTGAAGGTGATCCAGAAGTTAAATTAGGAAATTGTAATATAAAAAGAGTGAAAGAAACAAAAACTTTAGGTGTCATTATTGATGATCAGCTAAAATGGAATGCACATATAGATAATGTCGTTACCAAGGTATCAAAGGCCATAGGCATGATTCGACGAATGAAAAATTTTGTACCCCAGTCAACATTAATTTCAGTTTATAATGCAATAGTACAACCTCACTTTGACTACTGTAGCCTTGTTTGCATTGGTAATGTTTACTCGCTTGAAAAGCTGCAGAAAATGCAAAACAGGGCTGCAAGAGTCATTACTGGTAGGTCGTACGAAGTTAGGTCCGAGACTATTTTACAGGACTTAGGCTGGCAGCCACTGATAGAAAATTGGAGAGAGAATAAGGCAGTTTTTATGTATAAAGCCAAAAATGGCAAATACCTGACAACAATTACTGATATCTTTAATGTGAAAAATAATGAAAATTATAATTTACGCAATAACGATTGTGACTTTTCGATAAAAAAGCCTAAAACTAATTTTCTTAAAAAAAGTATCGGCTACTCAGGAGTAAAGATTTGGAATGAACTGCCAACAGAACTTAAAGATAATGGTATAACATTAACAAGATTTAAAGCGCTGCTCCGAGACAGACAAACGTAGATTGTTAAAGTTTTTAATGTTTTATTATAAGGGTGGGTGGGAGGACTGAGTGAAGGAAGGGGGGGGGGGATTATTCGTGTGTTATATTTATATATATATATATTCGTATATTTTCATTATTTTCTTCCCTAATTATTAATCAACGGCCCCTTGAAAATCAGCTACAAGGAACTGTAGATAAACTTGCTGAAGGGCTACCGTTGTATATGTGTGTAAATAAGATTAAATAATAATAAATAAAATGAATATTGTTCTTGCTTCGTTCTTTAGAAAATCCATTCAATAGCTTATTCTTTTATCATCGTCATAATCAACCAATCGCAGAACATCTTCCTAGAGCTTCGTGCCTACCCTTTACCTTCACAAGGACTGAATAACAAAAAATGGAGACCAAATGAAACGGCAAAAATTAAGCCAGTCATTTTACGTAATCAATCTATATATGAAACAAAGAAAACATTAATTAATTTATTTTGGTTGTGGAAGGATAACAGTAAGGCCTGCACTTCCATTTGGACATTATAGCTTTCTCCTGTACTTCGAGAGATTCTCTCCAGGTCATTTTGCCAAATGCATACATTGACAAGCTTAGGGCACCATAGCTCCTGCTTCGCTGTAGATGCAAAAACAAGTATACGTAGGCCTAATTGGAATATAACATCTCACGAACCTATGAGGCGTGTTAGAAAATAGAAACATTTCATGATTTATTGGAACTGGATTTAGAATGTCGCTAAATTAGATATATGCATACGTAATTTTTAACTCGGTGTATTTGAAATGTAACATTAAAGACACTTTATCATCTTTCATACACTCAATATAACCGCGCTCGAAAGAAGTTTTTATCTACTGATTTGTGGCGCGACATTAATTCTCTTATATAACTTTGTATCCTTCCGAACTACTTCCCAACTACATTCCACAGAAATGTAGACGGAAGTTCTGTTCAGAAAATATATAAAACACAATAAACAAAAGCAATAAATAAGCCAATAACCCAAGAGATCCGAAGATTTATATATGGACATATCCCTTTTGGCCTTACTTTTGGGCAAGCTAAAGGCCATGCATGCAACAATTAAATCTCGTTCTAAAATTAAGATCATAATTTTCCTCCTTTCTTGTTTTTTTTTTCCTTTCTTATTTTTCTTTATAAGTGACTTTCGTGAGTCGTGTTGGTGGCAATGACCGTTCACCCACAATGAAGGTTTCAAAAAAGTTTACATGCATGGGCAACATTACTCATGGTTTAAAGAAACAAATTTACTGCATTCCATTCACGATCCAACGCTTTGAGAAGCGTATTGTCTTCTTTAGGGACAATCTGAAGTCGCAACTCGCAAGTCACTGCCCCAAAATTGAACCAACTAGACTAGAATGTTGAAACAATAGCTCGTGCATCAATGTATTTTACTGAAGAATTATACTTACATTCATTCAGTGAACAAAGACAGTATGGAAGCATCTCAACTGATATTATATCCGATTTCTGCCATTGCAAATGAATATGGTTTCATACGAATAATACCAATAGTACTCAACGGTCTACTAGAACAAAATATCACACACCTGGTATTGATAACAAAATATTACGTACCTGCTATATGTAAAACATTCCTGTAAAATTGGCCACCAAAAGCTATATGGTATTTTGTTTTGTGTGCGGTGTAAAGTTCTTCCGGCTTCGATAGTAATTGAACTGAAGGTTTGATATGTAAATACAAGACACACTTCCTGCCTCCTCATGGGGATATAGATTACAAAAGTTATGATTTAATTCATTAATATATACATCGGTATAGTTCTAACTTTTTTAGACTTATTAGACTTTTTTAGACATATTTGGCATGTGCGTTTGTATAGCTATGTCAGGGGCAGGCTGTCGACCCTTTCAAACTGTCTAAAATTGACCATTGAATAACAATAACCAAGATTTGAGGTTTAGTAGTGATAAATTACTTTGTGTCTCCAGATTGTAGCCAGGGCATGCAGAAGCCACCGTGGGATGGGTTGAGACCACTCTTCACATTTTTTTCAAGACTAATTTTGTAAGTCCTTCAAAACTGGGGGAAAACTGGAGTGGGGAGGGCGTAACCAGTGAGCGTATAACCTCTTCATATTTTCATCTATGACATAAAATATACCAAATTTGTACCTTTCAGATAATCACAAAACGTATCTAAAATGCATGAAATAGCGTTTCGCATTCCCTTAAAACAGAAAAAATGTTCTGGGACCATGCCCCCGGCCGAACGATTACACGCCCACCCCCACTCCTTTTATTCCTGCAATATGTGTTTATGACCAGTCATAGAATGTACAAAGAAAATGCGTCCAAAAATTGGTTACTTAAAAATGTTCGTACTTTGGATTAGTGGATAAGGGGCGTGGTATATGGTGCATTGTTTCAGTATGAAATAAGTTCTTCCGTGAAAATAAATTTACGTGGTGTTTCCACAAACAATAGTATTATAAGTTCTTCCGGTTTCAATACTTTGTATTGAAACTTGACATGCAAATCTGCAGCAACAGCGAAACACTGCATGACATGGTGCTGCACGTTTTTATTCCTATAATTATACGTATAATTATACGTAGATGGTCATTTGATTTCGCAGAAACTGCATATTACCTGAAAAATTTTGGCTGTAAAATATTTAATAATGATGAAAACTTTATTTAACCACGGTTTAAAAACTACTTTCAAAAAGTGATTTTCCAAGCCGTGCTAGATTACATACATAAACTACTACACTCTACAGTATTATAAAGAACAGGACAAATATATAAGTATGGCTACATATCTTACACACTTTTTAATTATAAAGTACTTTTACAAGATGCCAATGATCCCAAAATGTTGAAGTTAATTTATTCCAAACCACGGCACTCCCAAGTTCACGTTTTATCATATCTGAAAAGCTCGGGGTTTTTTAAATATGATAAAACGCCCCTAGCCGTGCTTTAAGTGATATATACAGCACGAGCGGCCGTGTTGTATCAGATATACAAACTCGAGAGGTTGTATATACGCGAATGCTGTACATAGCTTGTGAAACATATAAGGATTTCAACAGTTGTGTTTTAGGAAATTATTAAAAAAAAGAAGTGATTTTAACTGAGAAAATCGAGGAGAAAGTTTATGCAAGTCAGGAGAATTTTGTATATGTAGATACAACACCTCATTAAACATTGATTTCTTTTAATTTCCTTTATGAATTATTACTGATTGTATACAAATATTACTTTTAATATTACCATGTTACTATTTAGCCACTACCACTAAATCATGCACTCAATAAATCATCAACTAGTTTCACCTAAAAGTTATACAATACAACAATATTTTAAGTAATTATAAAATAGTCACCGGATCGTGCTATTAGCCATTTTCCAATCGAGCAGAGGACTGGGTCTAGTTGATGTTTGGAGGGACAACAGGTTATAGTGAGCGAGCTAAATATATATTAAAAGATGCCTTATTATAATTGTTGCGTTTCAGGCTGCACAAATAACTTTAGGAATGTAGGAAAACTTCCTATAGATGCCAAATTAGGCATATTGTTTATTTTTTGTCCCTCCAAACAAGCGACTAGACCCAGTCCTCTCTCGATTGTGAAGTGGCTAATTGCCATGCTAAGTGTGCTATATTTGCCCACTGCGACTAAATCATGCACTCAATAAATCATTGTTGATTTTTGAACTAGTTCTTACTAAAAGTTATATAATACACAATATTATGAGTTATACAATATAAATAGGACTGTCACCCATGCAATCACTGGATCGTACCCGGATGGTACTGTTGTTATGGTAAGTATGTTATACTTGCCAACTCCCACTAAATCATGCACTCAATAAATCATCGCTAATTTTGTCATGCTAAGTGCGCTACTTGCTCACCAATTAAACTCATTGGCGACATCTACCAAACCCACGCAATTTTAACAAAACACTCTTTTCAACGATAGGTCTTAATGCTGTTAAAAACATTACACAAACCAAAACAGTCGTGCATTTACTCACCCCCCCTGGCCAAACATTCTGTTATTTCGTTACGGAGAAAAACTTCAATATCTCCTAAACTCTTCAGAATTTGCCCCAAGTCAATTGGACAAAAATGAAGCTCGTATTTAAGCGCTTTTATATGTGTAAAGTTTTGTTGGTATATGGGAAGTATATATACAACTGGCCCGCTCCAACTGAATCATGCACTCAATAAATCATCACTAGTTTTTAAACTGGCTATTGGTCATACAATACACAACACTTTGAGTTATATAATACATATAGAACTGCCATCCAGTTACTGGATCGGACCGTTGTGGTGTCTTGCCCAATACCACTACATCATGCACTCAATGAATCATCGCTAATTTTTAAACTAGCTCCTACTAAAAGTTATACAATACCCAATACTTTGAGTTATACAATACACATAGAACTGCCATCCAGTTACTGAATCGTTGCTGGATTGTGCCAAACTAGCACTATATACTACCACTAAATCATGCACTCAATAAATCATCACTAATTTTTAAACTAGCTCCCACTACTGGTCATACCATACACAATACTTTGAGTTATACAATACATATAGAACTGCCATCCAGTTACTGGATCGTTACTGGATCGGACCGTTGTGGTAAGTGTCTTGCCCACTACCACTACATCATGCACTCAATAAATCATCGCTAATTTCTGAACTAGCTCCTACTAAAAGTTATACAATACACAATACTTTGAGTTATACAATACACATAGAACTGCCATCCAGTTACTGAATCGATACTGGATTGTGCCAAACTACCACTATATACTACCATTAAATCATGCACTCATTAATTCATCGTTGAACTAGCTTGTAAACTGTTGAACTAGCTCCTACTTAAAGTTATACAACACATTATACTATGAGCAGGGTTCGTAGTCTCCAAGATAAAAAAATTTCAGACTTTCACAGTCTTTTTCAACCTATTTTCAAAGACGTTTCAAAGACCATTATGATCAATCAGCTGTAGAAAAATTGCAATTGTATGAACATTTTTACCCGGTAATTGTTCCCGTCAAATCGCATTCTAAAATGCATCTTCTTTTTCTGCAATCGATCTATTTTATTATAGCTATGGAAGCGTTTTTAGCAATACCTCTCTTCTTCGCAGAGGCTTTTAAATTATTAATTTAGAAAAAAATCGTAGTTGCGCTAGAAGGTAAAACAAAGGTGAAAGTAACCGCTAAAATGCGGCGCGCGGTCGCAGGAAACGTCAGAAAGCCTCTGCCCGAGATGTGACGATATCTGTAACAAACTGACGATATCGGTGACAATCCTCAATATATCTCAAGAATCCTTACATTTTTTGCTTCAAATTTATAATGTGACTATATTTGGCCAACCGTTGGCTGTTTCAAATGGAATCCTGCTTCAATAACAAAAAACAATTACAAACATGACATTTACATAAAACATACAAGTTTACAGAATGATTCAAACACTCATTAATAATTCATAAGCTTATTGGCAAATCACGTCAACCATAATATGTCACGTGCAGTGGCTTTAAACCTGATAAAACACTCATAATTAGTATACTTTATATAAAGAATACTAATAAGCCAGTATCTATTGTAGTCGTGTCCTCATTCGTATTCTTTATATAAAGAATACTAATAAGGCAGTGTATCTATTGAATTTGTAGTCGTGTTTGAAGCCGTTTAATAAACTCGCAGGTCGTGTTTTATTAGGTCTAAAGCCACTCGCGCTTCGCGCTCGTGGCTTTAAACCTAATAAAACACTCCTGCTGGTTTATTAAACAGTACATTAGGCTATTTATGAACAAAATATCCAGCCATTTATGAAACTGTTATGTGTGTCAATATATAAACTAAGTTGAAATCATGAAGCAAATACACTGGTGCCAGGCCATTTAAACACTTGATGTGCTCGACCGTCGATGGTTGCGAAATTTGCCACGGCTACGCGTTATGACAAATGTTCTGCGCGGCCTCCAGAGAAACTCTGACAAGCGGCAGCGCACCGAATTTTAGCGGTTACTTTCAACTTTTTTCAACCTTCCGGCGCAATTACGAAATTATTTCTAAATTAGTCCTTTTAAAAGCCTTTGCGGAGGAGAGAGTAGTAATCATCACTAACAAACTGGAAGACTTTTTTCGCTTTTTCATACAATTCATAGACCTTTCAAAGACCCTACATTCAAATTTAAAGACTTTCGAAGATTTCAAAGACCGCTACGAACCCTGCATGAGATATAGAATACAAAGGGCGGCTGCTCGCCACTGTTTTATGCGAAAAGCCATTATTTTTTATCCGAAACTTATGCAAATTATTTTCTACTTGTGTTATGCTAAATGTCATGCAAAACGTAATTATACTTTCGACCCGAAACACACTTACTACTCGCCATCTACAGTTGAGTCCATATGGTTCACTCTTGGTCAGCCTTCCCAATCTTGGCGAAGTCGATGCTCGCATACTCAGTTTGTCCAGGGCGTTCTTCATCTCGTTTCTTTTTCGAATTATCTGCTTGTAGAGCGAGTGAGTCAAGCGTTGCATACAACTGCAAAAGAAGAATAAGCCACTTTTGAGAACTAAGAATAACTCGTTTTCTATAGAGAGTTTAAAAGACACCGTTGATGGAAATAACCGAGTGTAAATTAAATTATATATATTTATTTAGACCCAACCAAAACACCTATAGATCCCTGGCAGGAATCTTATCCCATACCTGTGTTAAAAGCTTTCTGATTGGTTTAGAGCAGGTGAGCTTGTCGTCGAGCTCACCTGCTTTTTGCCCGAACTCACCCGCGAAACTGCTTACGTTGCAATAACAATAACAATGGCGGACAAGATTTAGCCGATAAATCTATATTTTAAAGAACTTTTTTCGGCGACTAACATACTGAGACTGAAGAAAAATCAAAGAAAAAATGCAATAAAGGTAATTTAGACGTAGATAAAGAAGTATTAAAAGCCCAGTGTCTTTTTTGGCCAAGAAAATGTTGACAAAACATCGACGAATATATTGCGAAGAGCTACAAATATGTGCATGGCTCGGTGTATGGGATAAAAACCAAACATACTTGCAGGTTAGGGAAACGTCCAGCCACCCTCGGTGCGTCCAATCCCGGACTCACCTCCCTGCAAGTATGTTTGTTATAGAACCTGCGACTCAGGTGCAGCGCTCTAACCAACTGAGCTACAGAGTCCAGTTGTCAAGCTCTAACCACAGTTCATGCATATACACTAGGTTTACTGCCATTTTTAAAGAGACCGTCAGACCAAAGTGGGCTGACGCAAATGGGTTTGTGAACTAAGGCAAAATGGGTGGACCATTAGGCATCCTG